AGACAGGAGAATTGGGCTTTTAGTTAACGCGCACACTACGAATTTTTTATTGTTCAACAACGCACAGAAGAAATCTCCCACTGGCACCACCTTGGAGGTCAAAATGTAAGACTGGTTACACACTACTACTACAACTACGAGGGATGAACGGGTGCCGCTATAAGGAGCTTCGCTCCTTAAAGTATCTGACAACGCCGAGATGAAGGCAGGGTATCGTAAAGCGGCGACTTTTGTATTATTCTATGTGATTTTTATCATCCATCACTCGGGGCTAGCTGATTTTGTTGATAATGCCGAGGAACAGCCGCCCTAATTAGTTACCACACTGGCCAAGCGCGAACATAATGATAAGCATCGGAATCCGAAAAGGCATTGTTCCGTGGTTGCACCCAGTAGTTACGAGCAGAAAACAATGAACTGAGCGATTGAGCTTCAGCTTCGGATCCTCTGCGGCTTAAAAGCAAGCCAGTAGCAAAATAAAAGTAGGACAGTCTCCATGCCATAACTATCGAGCAATGGCGGCACCCATGCTTGCTGAACAGTGGTGGTATAGCGGCGGTTTCTGGTGGTGCAAACGCGTGTTTTAGACTTCGTTGACTCGTTTTCAGGCTCTGAAAATGCATCATTGTGTTAAATATTGGGTTTACTGCATAGCAATAAGTATATGAGTCTGGAATCGCATCGTGAAATTTCGTTGAAGTGGGACGATCGAACAAAAAGTGTTCGTTGTGCAACAATATTTATGCACTGACTCCTATTGACTGCTGACAGGGAATCGTGAATTTTTCATTGTAGAGGAAATTTTGTTGAAGCGGCGTTTGTTGTAGCGGAATTCGACTGTACTGAACTACTCAAAGGCTCACCATAAGTGACGGAATCAGCAAGAACTGGTTGCTCAGCATCTTCAAACAGTCACTGAGAGTAATTTCAGTCAGCTCGTTTGGTGTAAGAAGGCTGCACATAATTGAAAAGATGCGTGACTAGCAGCAGCTAAGGAAAACTGCTCGTTGCTTGTTATCTGGCACATCATTTGCCACAAAAAATTGCTGCATTTGATCAAGGTATTCTTGCCAGAGACTGCTCTGGATACAAAAGTTACAGTGACCCTGAACGTCAGCAGGTTGCAGTTGGCAAAGTTTTTCCATCATTGCCAATGTTATATTTTCTCAGCAAATAGCTGGCGAGAAACAAAACACATGGCTGTGCTTGCTGGCAGTGAACTAGTGAGGGTCTGCCTCTGCCCTAGTGCTTTTCATTTCATATCACAGGCTAGGTGAGGCCACCAACTAGTAACATATGTAACAGTGCGCTCTGTAACTTCAATGCAATCGTTGCGATGAATGCACAAGATGTAAAAACTGTCCCCATCAAGATATAAATGCATGCAGATGTTATTGGTTACCTCCAGCACAAGAAAAGAATGAAGAAAGAAATTATGCAAGGTTGTAAGATGTCTCGCGTTGCTCCATTGTGACACGTGCTTAGGGTAGCCTTCTTGTCATGCAAAGGAAGCTTCACAGACAGCTCCACTAGTGGAAACCCGCTCATACGTTTTTCAGCAGACCGGGTAGGAATAATGTAGTAGCCAATAAAACGCAAGAGTGAGGAAAGCCCCGAAAAAGAATGAGAGCAGAGGCATTTTGACTTCAAACAATTTATTTTAGCAAGGTGAGGCTATGGCTTAAAATATTTAAAGATAGTTGACTGCCCCTTCTTTTGCTCGCTGGTAAGCACCACGCATTTCTCAATAATCTGGAAGGCCACACTGTTTTCAGAGTCCCTTTGGTGTGCGACGTACCTGCAAAAGTTGTCTAGGGCCGCGACAGCTTTTTCGAAGTTTAGATCGGTCGACTCCATGGCCATCTCTTCAGAATCATGTCGCTCGTGCTCGTCGTCATCATCGATACCCCCATCTTCAGTTTCGATCGAGTTGGCAACAATCTTTGTGATCGTTTGGCCCTCCGACGTCAAGACGGCAGCACTCATAGTGACATAGTCGCCGTACATCGTACCTGCGGCATTCATTGCATTTATTGCCTCATTGAGCTTTTGCTCACAAGAGGCTGCTTCCGATTGTTGAGCTTCGATGACAGGCTCCTCTTTGCTGTCCATATGGCACTCACACCTCGCAAAGCAGTGCTCTATAGTTGACATGCTCACTACACTCCACGCTGATGCGACGTAATGCATGGCGTCAAGTACCGAAATTGTCACTTCGAGGTGATGCCGTTGAGCATTGACGGTGGCAGTCCAAGGTCTTTAGCAATGTCATCCCTTTTTCGCGCTGGCTGCTTGTCGATTGCTTTAAGTACGTCAAGCTTTTCCTCAAGAGAAAGGGCGTTCTGCTTATGCAATGCCATTAAGGCTTGACAAGTGTAACGGCAACAGACTCAGTGCACACAATAGCGACTAAAGATGAGTCACAATGTGCGGTGTGTGGCAATGGGACTGTCACGCACTTTCGGAATTTCGTCCTGAAACCTCGGTTTTAAGCACAGTGATGATGGTTACAGCACTTTCCACAAATGGCCATCTAGGGGCGGCCTCTCCAACTGGCCTGCGGCTTCTTGCAGCCTGTTCCATAGCCTAGGCCAGGTCAACACTCTCAAACGTCAAATCAAAATGACGGTTCGTGGGCAGATTCGGCGGACTAGGTTGCGATGCATCATGCAGGAACATTCTCACAGTTACAACGTAACAGCGGGGTTCGCAATACATGGGATTCTATGAGAGCTATGCTAGGATCGATGAATTACAATGTAACACCCGAGAAAACGTAGCAGTGAAGAACGTAACAGTGGGGTTCAATTGTAGAACACAAGCAGTGTTTGGACCTTGCACGTAAGCAGAGTAGCTCTGAGATAGTGCAAGAAGTTGGTGGCTCCACAGGCACAGCGGAGGAGACGACTGAAACCCATAGGCAAAACCAACCATTAAATGACTGCAGACGTCCTAGGTTGACACAAAACATTGTTAGTGCCAGAGCTTGAAGCTGAGAGGCTGTTCTATTTGCAATCCCAGCTCATGTCTTCGCCCCTCAATTCTGGTGTGATTGCAAGATAGCTGAAGCAGCGTGCATGATGATGATGCAGCCCTATTTAAGAAGCAAGTCCGAAACTGCTGGAAGCTGACTGAAAAGGTCCCCACCACATGTTATACATTTCACAGGATCATGGGAAAGAAGTTTCAATACAATAAATCTTTTTTTGACTCCAAACAACAAGTAGTCTTTTCGGCCTTCACACAACAGCTCTCTAGTGAAAAGCGGATGTATGGTTCGTGGAATTATTAGCGCTGAGCACTGAGGTTGCAATGCTGGCACTATAACTTGATATTTGAATTGTAAGGGTTCTTTTGATTACAGAACTATGATGTTACTGAAGCAGAAACACGAGTGGCAGGCATTTCTTTCAAGTACGTCCCTTCATGCCCCCTTTCCCCAACACCAAAACACCAACATCAGTTTGCACAAAAGCCTGTCAAAAATCACTATGTTGCCAAAGCCAAAAAGCTCAAACTGTTTCTGAAAGTGCAGTGGCTGAACTAATCCATTAGACATGACAGTACGCAAATTTAGCATTTCTGGACATCCATCAGATGTCCACAAATGTACACCAAACGTTCGATAGACATACATCAGATGTGCAAAGGTAACAAATAATGTACGTTCACTCAACAATTCTCCAGAACAGCCGACAGAGACATTAACAGGCCCTTCACCGGATATATGTACATATATAATGTGCTTGTGTGTATACAGCTAGTGCATATTCAAGAAACCTTGCATATGTACAACGTACCGACACAGCCTACTCGAAGGCTTTTCTGTTTTCCGCAGAAGCTTTTCTACTGCAAATGAATTCTAAAAAAAGGGGGTCCAAGCGGGCTTTCAAGAAGAATCGAACCTTTATAGTTAACTCATACATCAAGGCTAATAAGCACATAACTAAGTCCACAGCTGCGATTGTAAATGTTTATACATAGTTTTACAAGATTTCAGTGTTCAATGCCATTTCACTTTCAAGTGCAATGTCTTCTTAGGCGGCAACAACTGATTCCTTGCGGCTTTATTAAATGAAGTAGCTAGCAGCAAACTCCGCAGGCACATGCTGATAGCAATGTTATTCTAGTAACCACAATACATACACAAAGACAAGCACTGGAAAAAAACCAATGTGTGTAGCACATACACCCAAAGAAGATGCACAGGCACTGATCACATGCGCATCTTTAATCGATTGATAGGAAAGAATATGCGAGAGAATAAAGAACAGGAAATACACCACATATTAGGAGGACTTACACAAAGGATGGAAAATACTAAAAATGCAATGAGAACAAATTGATGACCAATGAGACGTGAAGAATAGTTGTAACACATGGCCTTATCTGTGGCATGCGAGTGAAGAGTCCAATAAGTACGACGTAGCTGTTGCTTGCTGCAGTAATCTCTGCCTAAAAGAGTGGTGGGCCTGTGCTGTGCTTGAAGCAAGTCTGCTAAGCACAATGCACAAGTGCTGACACAACTAGCGGCAGCAACGGTGCACAGATTTGAAATTTGGAAATTGGCGGGTATGTGGACTATTTTTGTAAACACTGAAAATAAGACAGTTACTATGCCATTTCACAAGAACATCAAGCAACAGAAGGCAGCCATTCGATGCCTCTTCCAAAGAATCATAGAATTTCCTCTATGATCGCTGTTTTTTCGTGATGCAAGACAGCAGCAGGCCTTGAAAGCACTTCCACTTGCTGCATGCGCCAGCTTCATGCAGACTGGCCAAAATGAAGCATAGTCAGCAAAGCTATACACCCAGTGTTACACTTTTCAATTTAAGCCAGCTATGACGGTGAAGATGCGACGAGGAGCACTTGTTGCCCCTACAGGTTACAGCCAATGCTGCTTTTGCTGTTTCTGTGCAACACGGTTTATAAAAAGTGAATGGCACTTCTTCAATATTGTTATGTAGAATGTAGAGGTACAAGAATGTAACACTCACACGTCAGTGAAGGAGTGGGGCTTGAGCATTCCCTCAGGCTCTGCAACTGCATAGCGTCTTGGTGCATTCGACAACACTGCATACAAAAAATGCACCAAACAAATCTTGCGTCCTTGCAGTTGAGCGCCGATTAGTCCAACATCTCCACACACACATTTTCCAAAGCACTTTCCTCAAATATGACTGAAGTAGAAACAGAGAAACCGCCTCTAACTTGGCTAGTTTTGAACCAAGCCGCTACAGACCTACACACTTGCCTAGGTGAACAAAAGCGCTCCTAATTGAAACCTATTTCTACTATCACATTCTGCTACAGTTTAAAAAATTTTTAGGCTTAAGAAAACTAGTTCAAAGTTGACTGATTGATTGGTATGTGGGGTTTAACACCCTAAAACCACCCTCTGATTATGAGAGACGCCGCTATGAAGGACTCCGGAAATTTTTGACCACCTGGGGTTTTTTGACGTGCTCCCACATCTGAGCACACGGGCCTACAGCATTTTCACCTCCATCGATAATGCAGTCACCCCAGTCGGGATTCGATCCCGCCACCTGCTGGTAACTAGTTGAAAGCTACGACTTGATGTCAAGCTCCTAAACTCACAGACATGCATGAGCATTCAGCTGCAAATTACTGCAACTTCTGCGCAGCCTGAAGATGCACATATGGAGAGAACTAAAACTACATAACACTAATTGCCATGGTATCTAGTGTGAACTTATGAGACACAACTGAATACGCGCAAAGCACCAACTTTCAGCTACACGTTTTAAACAGTGTGCTTGGCAGCGTGTTTGCTCAAATATTAAATTAGCATTTTCAGAGCACTGATTTTTTGTGCTTCCTGTTTACTGCCTCTACAAAACATAATATTCACCTGAGAAAGCTAAGAGGAAAACCTGGTACCAAACTGTTACATAACAATTTACTGTTCTTCAACCATATTTCTACAATTAAATGAACATTTTGAGTGCTCCTCGAATTATGTGCTCCTGTGGAGTGTCCTGCTTCCTAGAGCTTGTGCAAAGAAGCTCCAAGACGCTATCAGCAAAGTGACATGCCACCTTTCATATACAGTCAAACCCCACTACAACGAACACCACTTCAACGAAATTTTCACTACAGTCGAGCCCCTTCACAAGAGACACTGATATAGGAGACAAATGGGTATGAGAGACACCAGTATGCCTTCAGTAGAGATAGGAAAATGCATACGAGATCCCTTGCTTTTAAAAGGCAAAAGGCAAGCGTTGCTGCCCAGAGCATGCTTCTTATAAAGGGATCAACAATACAACGAAAAATTCTCGGTTCCCCGCCACTAGTCCATTGGAGTCAATGCATAAATATTCTCACCATAATGAACACTTTTTCTTTTGTCCTTCTGCTTCAACAAAATTTGACAATGCAATTCCACGCTCAGATAATTTAATCTCGTGCAGAAAACATCATCTTCAACATTTTGATGCATTTTTGGAACATAAAGATACGTCAACGAAGTGTAAAGCACCCGTTGGTACGACCAGAAACCGTTGCTGTCTGCTAAGCAGGGGGCATTCCTCGATAGCGATGGCGATGCGATTGCTTTGCTTTTGCCACTGGCTTGCTTCTGAGTCGCAGACAATCTGAAGGTGAAGCTCAGTCGCTGAGTTTTCAACACGCTGCTGGTGGATGCAATTGTGAAACAATGCTTTTCCTGATGCCAATGCTTTTGGCTCTTTTCGAGCTTGGCTAGTGTGGTTAGTGGTCATAGGGGCTGTTCGTCTGCGTTATCAACGAAATCAGCCAGCCGGGACTGGTGGACGACAAGAGTAGGCATAAGTCACCACCCCACAGTACCACACCTCCATCCCAGCATTATCAGATACACTTTGACAACGGAGAGTTATAGGTGTTAGCGTGTTAGTACTACTGTTAGGTTCGTTCAGGGAAGTCGATGTGGCCATTCTTTTAGCGTACTTTTCACCATGGCATCGCTATTCATGGGTGAGAATTGTGTTGTGACGCTGCTGGGAAAGAAACTGAATCAGCCGACACTCTATGATTTTTGGGAAAAGGTTCTTGTTTTTCTAGTTCCAGGTCAGCTATATTTTTTTATTGTTTCACAAAGACGAAATGCTAGCTTCAATGAAATTGCTTTCCACTCCCTGTCAGTTCCGTTGCAGAGGGGTTAGACTGTACCACAATTTCCTCTAATTGGAAGTTAACAGGTCTGAGGGCATACAGCTTATTTGCATAGCGTATTTGTGTGTTACACTATGTGGTGATGTCATAGCATAAAGTTCTATTGAGAATCGAAAGAATGTAAGCCTGGATTCTCAAAAAGAAACAAGCTGTTCCCAACTTTTTTTTGGGGGAGTGTCACAGAACGAGCGCTAAAAATGGGCGCGCCACCAAATTCTTGCGATAACGCGCGGGAGAGACGCCGGGAGGTCAAAAGAAAAAAAAAAAGAAACCAAACATCCAAGGCTCCCCGGGCGCGCGCTCTCCCCTCGGAAGCGTGGCTTCGCCGACGAACCTCCTCACCCCACATCGGCGGCCGCGCAAGGCCGCGAAATTTCTAGAACGAAAGAGGCGTGGCCACGCCGGGTTGAGTCATCCATCGCGGAGGGCATTCCAACCGTCTCGCCCCCTCCCCAGCCTTCGCTGCGTATCGCGCCGACGAAACGACGAGAACTTTCTGGAATGTCGTGCGGAAGGTATTTAACCGAGCAGCGAAGACGAGAGATCAGGAGAAGACGGAAGTTAGCGCCAGAGCGCGAAGGGATCCCGCCGTGTAGTCGGCGAAGGTTTTGTCCGTAGCGACAAAGCAGGAGATGAAGAGGATTTCCACCTGAGGGGTGAAGGCTCGAGCTACAGGCAAGAGCGTGTGTCTACCGCTATCGAGCGAAGACGCGTGGCAACAGCTGCGTGTGTGAAGCCGACGTGTTTCTGACAAGGAAGGTTGAAGTTTGGAGAGTGGCCAAGTGAAGACGCGAGGTTTCCTGGAAGAGAAACTTCAGGGGCTGCGGAACGACAACAACGCTGGACTTTAAGTGAGTGATTCTCGGAAGAGTATCATCTAGACTTTGGTTCCAAGAACTTTGGACTGAATAGGTTTTCTATCTCTTTAGTCTTTAAGTGTCTTGGGTGTTCAATGCATGCGACTGCATCGTAGTGTGTATTGTTGTCTGTGTCCATTGTTTCGAGTGTAGCTGATTGTACTGTGTAGTACGTAGTTTGTTTAGTGACATATTGTACTCAACTATTGTGGAGTGTGCATTCGTGTGTATTATTTTCGATCTGCCATTATTGAGAATATATTTCTGTTTGTTTATCAACTCTCGGCTCTGACTTGTTCTTTGGACCACAGCCGGCGTCCCCTGGCGCACCAAAAAGGACCACTTCTAAATTGTCCACGCTTTCGTGGTGCGGTTCGGGGGGCCGATATTTCGGCCCTTGGAATTAGCCCGGCGATCGCCTCCCTAATTAACGGGACCCGTGACAGGGAGGGGGGGGTGATAAGCTGAGAAGGGATTCGTGGCAAGCGTGAAATATGGTGATTGTTGTTCAGCTATGCCAGATGTCCACCATTGAGCCCAACAACGAAGGGAAATGCAGGCATAAGCTGGAAAGTCTCAATGGAAAAAGATTAGTACAAGTGTCTGGCAATCAGAGCCGCAAAACTGCAACATAAGGTTCTGTTGTTCATGGCCATGCTGATAACAAAATTGTCAAGCACATGCCATATTCCAAAGCGGAAGTAGCCAACAGAAGGCAGCCCCCCTTGCTGTTGGCCTATCCGAAAGCGCATATCTGAAAGAAGCGCTTATTCATTGCTTATCAGCAGATGTGGCTTCACACACAATTTCATTTTTGATGAAGTTGCAAGCGAGTATATCTTTATCATAGTTGCGCCCCAAAAAGTTGTTTGTTGGAGTATTTCTACCAGCCATGCCAGCTTTGTAAAATACTATAAAATATTCATGGCAGTCTCAATATCGGTGTGCTACGAAAAAACAGTGCCTCGTGTTGACATCTCTGGTGACCAAACACTTGTGCCAGTCTTTTTCCGTTGCAGGTGTACAAAGCCGGTATAACTGAAAACTCTAGGCTGAATAACCACAGAAGGTTACCCAACCTTGTGCCACCAAGAAAAATTGAATGAACTGAAAGAAAGTGAATGAGAGAGAAGACGACAGGAAAAAGTAACATAAAGATTTAGGGTGAGAGAAATAGGAAAAGAAAAGTCAGCTTAGGAGTGCCGTCTACATGAAGATGGCCTTTGAGGTCCGATCACCCGGCGTCGGCTCAGCCTTCCCTTTTCCTCGAATGCAGCACAGCCACACAGCTAGGTGTGGGAATGAGCCAAGACTCTGTATTGGTTTGGGTCTGCAGTGTCGCTACACACCTGCAGACACCCGTGTGGTAATGCTGTGTGGACCCAGCTGCTCGTTTCAGTCCATGCACACTGTCCCCGCTGCTAAGTGGTCATGCCACGCATCTATGACTGGGCACTTGATGATGCACTGGCCTTTGATCAGCGGTCTTTTGCAGAGCTGTTGAATTCGGTGTACTGGTGCATAAAGATAAGTAATATGCATAACGATAAGCTTAATCCTCTCACAAAGCAACTTACATTAATGATGTACACAGCAAAGGTAAAAAGAAATAAAATATTTTGGAACTTTTTTGCAAAAAAGCCTTAATGCACTGCATGCTTATTATATTCTTCTGTTACTTTTTAGGTAATTGGCACAAATGTGTACTAAGGTTTAGCACAAAAAAACTATGCAGTCAGATAGCAATGCCATCTAGTGTTGTTTCTTTTGAGTATGCCTCAAGATGCACGGTACAAACCAGAACACCAGTGTGTTTCCTTCTTGGTTATCCACTGTAAGAGAAATGGACTCACACTGGAAGCGGACTGAGAAGTCATTGATGTTGTACAGAGTGAGCACCTGCTTGTGGCTCTCCTGTTGGTCGAGGTAGAAGTCCAGCTGAGACGGACACACCACCACAGGCATGCGACCCGACCGCGCCTGCTCAGTGGCCATCACCCCTAGACACATGCCCAGTACACCTGCACATCAACACTGTTCAATCAAAGGGCCGCTCTCACACAAAGGCTTTTGCTCCCAAATAAGTAGCTACCCAAACTGCCGCAAAGAACTCGCCCCAGCAGAAGACAAGTTTTTTATGATAGGCTCACATGTTATCAGCGACGATACCTGGTTTCAGTTTCAGAAAGCACTAAGTGGCCCTGTGACACAATCCACTTGCTTATAAACGCCGGGCCTGCGCGGAAGGCCCAGCGCAGTCACAGCGAAAGCTAGAAGAGCGGCCTTTCAGAGCCTTTCCTAACAACTCATCGGGTAACTGCTGCAAGCACACTTGCTTGATAACCACTATGGCACTAATAATAAAAATTTTTGCGTAGTAGACCGGCATTCACTATGCTATTTTTCGTCATTCTTCTGAGAAGCGTGGTATCCCCTAAACACTTCAAAGGAATTTCATACTAATTGTTCATGCAGTGGCTGACGACGATGAGGAATTGTGCCTGAAGTGGGTATGCGTCACAGTTAATAGGTGATAAAAAAACAAGCTTTTGTAATGAGTTGAAGCCTTGCACAGCCCACTCGTTACGCTATTCCCATTGTGCAACGACTGGTTGTTCTTTCGCTGTTATAAAACGCTTTATAACTGGTAATAACACCATTCCTAACCCAATATCAAGCCTGCCTAAGGAAAGTTTGCCAATAAGTCCCAAGTTCTGGTGTGGCTCAGTGGTAGAGTCTTCTACCATGGGCTGGCAGGCAGTGGACCCGGGTTCGAGCGCCACTGTGTCGTTGTTACTAGGTATTTTTTTTTCTCATTTCGTGCAATGTGGTTGTGGACACCGGCAGCGGCGGACAACTACGACGGCGCGCGTGACCAGAGTTTTGATCCCATAACAGCTTTTACTGTAAAAAGCACTTGGCGGCCCCGTGACACAATCTACCTGCTCATAAACAATTATTATCACGTGACTGCGAATACCAATGATGCCACTGCAAACATGCTGCCACGTCACCAGCTTTCTTATTTTATCTCCCAACATTATACGAATTTCGAAATAAGTTTGATTTGACATTTTATACTGAGAGCACTTCTTCAGTCATCAAAACATGACGCTAAGCAGGCACAGTAATTGGCCAAGGAGTTGGGAAGAGTATAAAGAAAGCTCTATTCACTGTAAAAATCTCGCTGGCAACTGTAATCTTGTAATCATCAGCGTCCAACAGAGATATTGATTTCCATGAACCTTCGAACAGCCAGAGTATTAGACGATCTGAACCATTCTTGCTTTGATCATTTGTTGAAGAGACAGACAACCGCTCAGAACCCAACTTGAGAAGACCCCCTAGAGGTCACATTGTTTATTGTATTGGTTAAAACAAACCCTCTGTTTCTCCTTAAAACTAAGTTTGTATTACTTCACAAAAGTCCAAAAAAATTACTGCTGACACCCCATGAGACTAAAGAGCAAAGATGGATTTATTTCTGGAAAATATAAAGAGAATATTCTCCATCAGTGCTAGCACTTACCAATAAGATAAGTTCACTGGAACATCGCTGTAAGTTAGTCATCTACAGTTCCTACAAAACATCATAAAAGGGGAAGCTGGCTTTCAGTAGCCCTGTTTTCTAGCAACCCTAAAAACACGGTCGACTAAACAGAAACAACTCTTGTCTTACTCCAATATTTGCCAAAACCAAATGTCACATGAGAGTCCACGCACCATAACAAAATGGAATTCTCTACCTATCCATGTCACACAATCAAGAAACTTGACAGCCACTTTTCTCAAAATCGAGAATATATTTGAGCAGTGTTTCAAGTTTTTCTTGCAATACTGTCATGAATCACATGTGTGCAGTGCCGTGCTAATGACTGAAGAGTTTCTATTGCATAGTTTTTCAGCAGTGTGAATTGTTGTGAGAAACAAGCCCTTCATTCTTTGAAGGCTCATAGTATCAGGCATTTTTTTATGGCTTATAGTATATACATTGTATCTTTTTTTATGTACAGTTTGTTTATCTGCTTGCATAGTCAGTCTCTTGAGAATACTTTGTCATTGTATTGCACCTCCCTGCATGGGCCAGCATAGTGGCCTTCAGTATCAATAAATAAACAATAAATAAATAAATGAAAATAAACTGAAGGATGACAAAGCTCACAGGGTAAGTATTAGTGGCTGTACAGACTTCAGCCAGCGATATTAGGTGTCTTAAACTTGGCAGTGAACTGTCCCTAAATATAGCCAGTCGTGATGTCAACCAGAGAAGTAACGTTGTGACCATCAATAAACACATCGAGGTCAGTGGTTATATTGTTTGCATTGCAGATAGGCCACGATGTAGAATCATGTTCTCCCCCTGCGGTTTGCATCATGAAGTCCTTTTTGAACCATGAAGTTTTCAATCGAGGCTCTGTCTAGCCGGCAATGTGTTCTTGTTACTTCATTGGAATGACTGTTGCAGTGGCGGTGGCCAAACAAAATATTCAGCATGTCACGTTTGCTGCTTTTAGTTTTGGGACGCTCTTGGTTTTTAATGGAGTCAGAGCTGTAGCCTGGTGACGAAAAAGACGTTGCTCACTACTGTTGACACAGTACTGCTGCAATGTCCTATGGTCGTTGACTGCGTAACGAATGTTGAGCCCAGAGAGGCCAATCTCGCAGTACGGTAAAGTGGCCAGCTGTGGCCAGGAACATGGGCATGGAAGGCAAGCATGACCACAGACACCTGATGGTCTTAACGGGCCTCATGCTGTGCCAGCACTTCTCAGACCAAATGAGTTTGGCCAATTAAAACAAGTCTAACCAAGAACTTCTGTGGTACAACACCCTCTTTACAATTTCCATCTTTCAAGTGCTTACGCATTCCATAGTTGGAGCATATGAGTAGCTCCAAAGCATCTTTATTTTCTAATTTTTGGTACCGGTATGCTGGCCTTCAAGCATACGTTAAATTTAAAAACGTAATTTGCTTTCTGAGACTGGGTCCAAAACCAGTCTATGCAATTTGAGGATGCACTTGGCATCAACATCTACCGACATCAGCACAAGGCTGTTTTTGACATTTAAAGAGTGCACGAAAAAGTGGATTCGGCATTTTATAAAACACCATACATCAATTAAACAATGTGCATTTTGCTCACACCATAGGTAACAAATGATAATACTTTGTTGACTTCAGGTGTTGGATTTTACACTAGACTGCTGACCCGCATGCCACCGGATTCAAACCCAACCATGGCGGCCCTATTTTCAATAAAAGTGAAAAACCCCGTGTGCTTAGATTTAGGAAAGTGGCTGACTGGGCTAGATGGTTTAGCATACTTGAGGTTTAACAGAGCGAAAAAAACACGGAGAACAGGGAAAGGACAGGACAAGTGCTGTATGGCTGCAGACTGCTCCTCCCACAGTGCTGCACAAAACTACTGAAACAGAGCATAGGCTATGCTTTCCCTTGATAGTTCACAGGTGTTGTATATGTCTCCGCATGAATCTATCTAATTCACTCTCTAGATAAGAAAATTTTGTGTCAGTGCTGCTTTAAAATATGATGTAGCCAAATGCAAAAATGTCTGGCAAGTTGCCATTGTTAAACCACTGTCTTGATTGTCAGAGATTCAGAATAAAGTTGAGAACTTTTAGCTTCTCTTTGGTTATCACAGTCTATTTAGTGGCCAGTTGTTTCTGAGTGTTTGACCAATGCGTTCGACAAAACCATTTTTCGTACAGCATACATGAGCTGCTGGAGTCATTGCTGACCCCCCCTTCTATAGTGTCCTGTTTCGATATTCTCATGTTTTTGTCTACCACACAAGTCTGACTCTGGAGTACACAACATGAGGTTTCTCGCTTATAGATTATGTCGAATGAGCCCTTAGAGAGTGTCACTTGCTCTTCTCTACGTTGTCCTACACTACAGCTGAACATGTGGCCAGCTTAAAACACTGATTTATATTCTAAGAGCAGCATCGCTTATCAATGAAGTTGTAAATGCAGGCCAATAGATTTTTACTGTAACATAACATTACCATTGAGTTCACGGTAAGCCTCTTGTTTCAGCAAGCTCGCTCAAGTGTGAAGAGCAGTATAGCCAGCTGGAGCATGGTACACTTGCCATCACTATCGAGCCCCACTGGGACCATATTCTTCGATCCCAATTGGTCCCTGTGTAGCAGCTGCAGAAGTGCGTCAATCATCGAAAATTTTCAACCTTGTATGCCTAATGGCAACTGAAATTGCGCTATGAGACAATCGTAAAAAAATTAGCATTATAAGAAGTAGCAGATTATTATTAAAATCGGGCTGAAGAGAAACTAGTGCTCATGTGAAATGCAACCTAGCTATAACTCCAAATACGTATGGCTTTCTTGCATTTGCCTCTAATCATATCAAAAACCTCCATGCAGCTCTAGGCATGTCTGGTGGCTTCCCACAAAACGGATAATCTTCTCGCTATGTGCTGCATAGAGTTATGTATGCTAATATTTCAATGTAAATTTATACTCACTTGTGCAAACATACCATGAAGTTGCACGGTTGCACGCATTTTTGCAGTAAAAATGTGCTTGCCAGAATCGCGTGCTACAGTCCACTTGATGCTGCAGTTTAACAAACTGATGTTACTTTTTACAGAAGCCACACACTTAGCCTTTAGTATATGTGGTCACAGCAGACGATGCAAGCAGTTGGGAAGCTGTCTAAGGCATTGTAAGGAGTGTAACACTTTGTCAGGGCAGTTATTTAGCATTTCACATCGTCAGTGACAACCCTGCAGTAGTGTTTTACTGATTTTGTCAAAGTGAAGCACAATAAAAACAACCAAAGAAGAGACGCAAAAGAGGAAGCTGCAGGCTGCAGAGGAGATGATTGAAGGAGCAATCCAACCTTGCATGCTTCCACATAGCAGCACCATGGTATGTCCTCTCTCCCAATACATGTCCTTCAACCAACATTAATATCTTTTTTTGAGTCCCCTGCAGGATGAATGCTTCTCCCAGTGATCTCCAGTTTACCATATCCTGTGCGAGCTGATTCAATTTTATCCGGCAAACTTCTTAACTTTGTCCCTCCATCCAAGTCTCCGACCGCATTTCCCATCTCTTGGTTTCCCATTCTGTTGCTCTTGCTGTGTACTGTTTGACTATTCTACGCATTACGTGAGCAGCTCAGGTTTTCACCTGATATCAACTAGGATACCTGCAACTACAGCCTGTTCTCTTACCCAGTCAGCTGACCTCCGATTTCTTAATGTTATTAACGCTATTTCTATAGTTTTTACATTCTGTTGCACGATGTGCGGTCCTCAGCTTTTGCTCTGGCTGTTTTATCCTCCACGTTTCAGCCCCATATGCAAACCTGCTACTTTGTAGGTTTGCGCCCCTTTCGCGGTTCTTGTCATTATTGGCAGCGCACTACAATATGAAGCCAGAGCTACGCCATGCTTTCTGCTTTTGAGATAGTTATTTATCCACGAAACTGCTCTTTCGTTTATTCCGGTGGAATTTGATCAATTTAGTAACAATGTCTAGATTTGGAACGAGATCAAAGGCGTTTGAGAAACCTTAGGCGTGACACGTGTTTTGCTGTCACCACTTAGACAATGAGTATTTTTTACGAAGCAACTCGCCCAAGCATCTGTTATAGTGAAGCCCGAAATACTCGGTGTTCTCAGTTTAAGAATCCTCCACGAGGAAAACGACACACGCATGCGTCTGCGAACAGCCACGGAGCGTACTACGGCATCCAGTCATCCATGCGTCAAATCAGCTCTCAGTGTACACCAGGCTGTGATGAAAAGTGTTGACAACGGAGTCGCGCGTGTACAGTGCACTACTGTGCCTGCCACCTTTGCACAACTCGCAAAGGCCACGTAACCGTTTTGATGCAGCTCACCCGGTTCCTTGACAACGGTTTGCCAGTTGTTGGTCAGGCCAGAACCGCACGGCGGCACACACGCGCGCCCATCCCTCACTGACGCGGCTCACTCCAACCTCGCTGCTCCAACAGCTGACTCTTCAGCACGGTGCAATGCAAGTCCGCAGATGTAATGGTGTGCATTTTAGGAAGCTCTATGATGGTGTGGTCCCGGAAAAGTTCCCGTGAAGGCCGTAGAGGGCGAAAAAAACGACCACAGCGAGTTTCGTCATGTGCGCGTGTAGTGGAATTACAAACTCCTCTATTAGCGTTGGATAAGTTGGGCTGTGCATAGAGGTGTGCGCCGACTGGTCGGCGCGCCGCCGCCGGTAGTTTTTGTCACGCCGCCGCCGCTGACGCGAACTGATCGGCGCGCCGCCGCCGCCGCCGCCGACGTTTTTCATCGGCGCAATCGGTGCGCCATTTATGCGCCAGTACTGACTTTTCCATCTTGATTTATAGCTTCGTTTCACATTTTATGTAGCCAGTAAAACCAGGCTTCTTAGTTATCTTCATCCAGCTTTAGAGACCGAGAGTACCACTTTGAACAGCGGAACGAGTTCGGCGGCCGCTGCATGAAATAACATATTAGACAAATTGACAAAAAATAAATGTAACAGTTACAGTAAAGCATAGACACTGCCATCTTGGGCTTAAAAGCAATTTTTGCTGTTTTTTGTGTCGTAATTAGCCATGATTATGGTGAGACGACGTTGAATGTAATGGCCCAGCGTTTTGATGCGTGCGAGTTCGCCATAGCACAATTCGAATATTCATACGGATGGAAAACGGCATCATTATCAGTCCAAGATGGCAGCCTATAATTGTGCCCGAAACAGGGCGTATGTAAAGAAGAAATGAAGTGGTAGCAGTGCAGTACGAATGCAGCGCGTTATATGAAGGGAGGAGGAGGATTAAATGAGGAAGGACAGGGAGGTTAGGCGTTAGATGAAGAACTACACAAAACCCCGATGGATGAAATCGAAAGGGAGAAGTTTAATGAAGATTAAAAGCGTCGAGGCATAATACATGCTCGAAGCTACTCAGGGTATATCAGCACCTGTCCGCGATGTTAAAGTTGATAATTTTCGAGGATGACCACTTATATGCAGTGTCTGAACATGCCGCAGAAAATATTCACTATCTGATTTATTCTTTAACTTATCTGTTTGTACCAGCCTTTTAAGACATTGGATACCCGGGATGAAGATGCCAAGGCAGTAAGATGGCAAGAAAGAGAAAGGAAGGCTGAGATATTACCCTTATCTTGGCATCCGGTTTGCTGCCTAGCACTGAGGTTTGAGAAATAGGGGCAAGAAAGGGCGTGTAGAGAGACAGAAAAGAAAACGCATGTGCACTCAGGAGTAAGATGGCAAACTTAACAGAGGATTTATTACATGCTGTACAGACAGGGCGAGAGGTCTCTTGCGAATGAGCTGGGTGGCTCACTATAAAGTGTACGTTTTGACTAAATCAGGGAATGGGTCCAGAATGCTCTGTTGAATCACGAGACACACACACCATTTCTGACGGTGCCGCTCACACTCGCTCAAGTGAAGGTCTTTGATTGGGGTGTGGCCACCACACTGCACCAGTGACACCAAGAAACCATTGTGGTCGTCTCATCGAACGTCTTATGGTGTCGGAATGCCACCCCACTTCCTGGCTAAGAGGGACAATACACGGCGGACAGCAGGCTGGCAGCCCTTCGGTGACTTGTTTGATGAACAAAGAACGCGGCCCTCCCCCGTCGGCCCAGGCGCCGCGCGTAACAACGGCTATTCAGTGGTGAGAAGAGGCGTAATAAGCTTGTCTGAGACCACCAGTTTTAAAAAGAACAAAACAAAATTTAAAAAAAAACTTGCCAGTAGACAATTTACAAAAGACGGCTGGATTCATCAAAAATGCAGAGACCGACATTTGAGCGACATGTCATATATGACATAGTTCAGCAAACTGGTTTTCATCACGTAACTTGAACGGACCTACTGGCACTGGGAGAGGTTAAGAATGATTGTCACTGACAGATGTACTTTTGTTGCGAAGTTAATGCTCAGAGTCAACCAAATAAAAACTTAACATTATATTCAAGTCTTGATAAAAAAATAAGTCAAGTTAGAAAGCTCCTCAGGTGTCCAAATAATAATTTACTTCACCATACTTTATGAAGAAGTAATTTGCAAATAAATAATGCAACCGCTGTTTAATTGACATTCGATGACGTGACCGCAATCAACGGCGTGTCGTCGCTATAAAACTGGAAAGTTATATGTGGACACGATCGGGCGAATCCGGCGGAGAACGAATATGTCACGTAATAAAAGCGATGTGATGTTGCACATTCTCATCTTTACAACTCCGTGTCCTTTTGCTTGCTCGTGATGTGTTCGAAGGAGCTAGCCAAGTCTCAGGTAGAAGTCAAGCAGAGTAGCCGGGGCTGATAAGAGCAACGTTTATGTTCACTATTTACACACTAAATGTAGCATCATGGAAGCTTGATGAGAGCTTCTGAGAGCTGGTTCAGAGCGTCTCGGTGCTCGCGTTTTAAGGCGTGGTCTTCCTAAAATTCTCTGCAGGAGAAAACAATAGACAGCTTGCAATAATCTGCAAGGCAGCTTTTCTGTAAGGTTAGTTTTCTAACCATAAACTCTCGTTCACAGACTGCTTTTCTCGCTCATTTTGTTTTTGCCATTCACCTTTTTGAGATCTTGTTGTGCTCGCGTGCCTTTGCTGGAATTTGGAGAGGTGACATTCTGTTGTACTCGCGTGCTCACCTGCATTCGCTGGAATTTTAAGAGGTAAACACACAATGAGGGAGAAAAGCAGTCTGTGAACTATAGTTTTTGGCTAGAAAATAAATCTTACAGAAAAGCCGCCTTGCAGATCACTGTAAATGGACAGACTGCATGTCCATCCAGTCCAGGGCAGTCCAAAGAAATTGTCGTCGTCATCTCCGTCCCCCACATGGTGGGGGTAGTGGTTAGAAGGCGCCTAATTTCTGCAGCCCAGCAGGGAGCACGGCGCAGCGAATAAAGATAAAAAAACGAAAAGGAGAAAGAGAGAGAAAGTCAAACACTGCCTTCTTTTCTACCCAGGAAATAGAAAGGATGCGTGTTCAGTTCGTCACACGGCGAGAGAGAAACACAACGTAGGTCATAATGCAATAATACGCACAACACAGCACAGTGCAATAACGTTGCATCGCACGTGCAGAATAGGGTCTGCAGCGCTAGGGCCTGGGGGAGTGGAAGACTTGAGAGCACCACAGAGTGTGGGAAACATACCTGACGATGGATCCCAACCTCTCGGCTAATTATTCAGTGCGTCTCGTGGCACGTCGAACAAATCAAGCTGCCTCTATTTCCGACAGCTCTTCCTAGGCCGTCAGTCAGTCAGGCGTGTCCAAAGAGTTTTTGACGAGGGGAGCCGACAGCCCTAAAGAATTCGAAGTATGACTTTCGTGTTGTCGCCTTTTTTGGCGCACCTCGAGAGCGTTGACCCGGAACAAATCAGGGTAGATGAGGTGACTTTCCGCGAACCTTACCTGCTTTCCAAACCAGTTACTGCATGCAAGCTTCCCCTGAATGGATGAATGTGTGGTTGAAGAAAAGGAAAAAGACACTACCTTTCCTTGCGAGACCACGGCTCAGTCCGTTGAAGGGAAAGGGGAGAGTGGAGAAAATAGTTTAGAAGTAGGTAGGAGGAGAAGGTTTGGAAGAACGTGACGGTCATGGCTGCTAGAGCAGAAAGAGAATAGGGGCCGTCGGCAGGGCAGTCCAAGTCGTACAACTTGGAAATGTGGAGCTGCAACCATGTACGCAGATACCTATGGTCATTCCCACGAGAAAAAAAATCTGGATCACCTTTCTGGGGCAAGAATACAGAAAACTGGCTAAACGAGAAAACTAAAATAAATAAAGAAATAACCGATAATCTAACCACCAATTGTCACCACAGCTGCGGAAGGAAAGAAGGAAAAGCGTAATGCACGACCTCGGCACCAGCGGCTACACAGAGGCATTTATTCGCAGAACACTGTGTATAACAAAAGACACGCGAAACACGACACCAATGGCGCCGCAACGACGCCGCGTGTCGACCAAACTTGAGCTCACGGAACAGCGAACGAAGCACAATGGCAGAACACTGCGAGACCACTCGCAACAAGTTTGCCCCATACCAGTCACGATGGCACGGTGTAGAGCTTGTTGCGTTGTTTTGTAGTCTTTCTGCATTCCTTGAAGTGCACAAAGAGCGCGAAAGCTTCGGTACGAGAAACCTGAGCATGGAAACAACTTTGCCATCAAGCCTTTTGCTGTGTGGACGGGACGAATGCAACGACTTGCGAGAGGCGACGGGAATTTCTTACTCGCTTCAAAGAAGTCTATGAATGGAAAAGTGTCTAAATGGGAACGAAAAAAAAATCTACAAAAACACGGTCATTGCTATGTTGTGTCAGTACAACAGAATTGCAAGCCTGTTGGAAAAAGATGGCAGCAATATCTCATAAAGAGACTCGAGAATTAAAAACCCCTCTGATTGCCGAGAGGTAACAGAATTCTTCGACCAGGTAACAGAATTCTTCGACCAATAAATTTTTTTCCGCGAGTGATAAAGGATCACGTACGACATGAATGGTGCGTTTCTGCCTCCTTCCTTCTTGAAATATGACCGCGACAATTTTCATGGTACCTTAAAATACGCCGCCGCTGTTTAACTGGTAGCAAATGACATGACAAAAACCCATGGTCTGTGCCATTGCTACATTTTAACAAAACTTGAAATTCAGCCAGATGGCGCATTGCTATCGGGAAATTTTGAGCGCAAACTAATGCTTCCACATGACGTTCACAAGCATCTGTCCTGTCTCTCTCGTTCTTGTTAACGTCTTGTTTGGCGCTCACAACTTTCCCAATCGCCACAATTATTCAAGAAAAAACTGAAGTGGCATCTGATGGCACAAGCAGTTCAACGCAATCGAAAGACAGAATGGGTGCTCGATTGCTCGCGAATCGTGCTGCTTTCTCGTCCTTGAAGCCACATTAATAATGAAACCGGAGCTTAGCACTGATACTCCGTTGATTAGGTACAAAATCAGAGATTAAGCTCAGTGTGGATTCAGATTTCACGTAATAAATGTGACCTGCAAAGCCACATGCGTCACAACATGCTGCAGAACCCGATTTTATGCCTTCGTACCGTCATGCTCGTTTACTACAAACGTTTGTAGGTTGGACTACAGAAACAACATTAAAGACCG